CCGAAGGGGCAGGGGAGCACAGGAAAAGCCAGTCTGATCTATGAGAACAAAATTCCCGAAGGCAATAGGGATCAAAATTATGTCCAGCTAGATGGTAGAGACGCTGCATCCCCAGGGTCCGGATCCAGTTGGCTGGGAGAAGCCCTTATCTTCTGGGGCCACTGGGGCCATGCCCAAGGTGCTGGGGGTTGATGTGAGGAGGACATTATGAGGGTGGCAGGAAGGGAGTGTGTTTTGTAACGTTTAAATATATCCCAGCTTTGAGGAATCACTTCTTCTCCAGGTAAATTTGCATAGGTGGGAGGAATTGTCCTAAAGCAGCATTACCCAAAGTTGCGGCTACAGGTTGTGAAGGCTTCGTGGAGAAAGGGATCAGTGCGACCCAGGGCAGAGGTAGAGGATGTCAGCTGAGCCCCTCTCTGGGGAATAAGGGATAAGGAGAGGAGTATCGGGAGCAGGGACCTGGGTTTATTGATTCTAGATCCACTGACAATGGCCAAGGCTAAGAACTTGGGGAGGTTCCAGAAACGATGCCAGGTGACCCTCGTTAGTCCCTTTCCTGCCATGTGCCCCATTTCCAGCCCCCACACCATGTCACCAAGGGGAAAGTCCTGAAAACCACACCAACTGCACCACCGCCTGGTGGTTGCACCAGACTGGTGCAACCGGGAGGGGAGAGGCAGTGGCATCCACGTGCGGGCGTGGCCGCAGGGTGACTGGTGGGGAAAAGCCAGGTTACGGAAACTGAAGTCAGACGCCAGAAAGGGAAAGAGCACAAAGCCAGCAAGGTCTGGAGAAGGAACTCCAGGGGCTTCTGTTCTGGAAGGTCTCTGAAAATGTAGGGGAACTTGGAAGAAAATGCTACATGAAATTTTCAAAAATGAGTCCCTTGTGAATTCCAGCAAGTCTCCAGGGAGGGTGTGTGCATCGGGACCTCTGCGAGCTGAGGGACAAGGGACAAACACACTTTGGAACAGCTCCCCTAATAGACCAGTTGTTATCACCATGGAAGCTAGAGACAGGAACACTTGTCAGCTCTTCAGAGCTGAGGGGCTGCCCAGAGACCAAGTGCATGGAGGGAATTATCAGCATTAAAGAAAGATGAAGGGCACCGATGTATGTAGCCAACACACGCCCACGGCGGATAACCAGGCCAACACGCTCTCGCCCAGGTCTAGAACTAGGCATCTGCTGGGGACCGCAGCTGCACCATCACACAGTTGCAGGGGGCCCCCTGGCCCTCCTCATCACACAGAATCAAAGGAAGCCTTGAAATCCTCAAACTGAGTATGGTTTCCAACCACGTGGGGCAGGCACACCTTCACTGTTCTGAGCGTGGTGGGGTAACATGCCGAAGCTGACATTTAAGGTTGTCCTTTAATGGACTAAGGGTCACATGGCAGACTGAATGCAAAGGGGCTAAATGCTACTCCAGCGCACAGGAGCTCACAAGGCAACCCAAGCCCCACTGGGCGGGGGGTGGGGGGCTGTCTCCGTCTTCCTGCTGACATCAGGGCTGGAAATGTGCTGAAGAACCGGTATCGTCAAAGTCTGAGATACCGCATCTGGATAAAGCAACCACTCCCCCCAGGGCCTCCCAAGATTTTTGGTTTCTAAACGATCCGTATCTTTCATCTATTTCCCACTTCCAGTAATTATGAGCAAATGATTAGGGAGAATTCATTATTCTTTTACTCTTTACTGCAGGGTGAAGTGATCTTCAACCTTAATGAGAAATGCAAGAATTGATCAGGAAGACGCTACTTTAAAAGGCAAAGGTCTGTCTTTCTCAGTGGTGCATTAAGAGCAACCGACTTGGAGCCAGAGGATTCTGAACTGAATCCAGCTACGCTAGCTGGGTCATCTTGGGCCTGTTCTCCCACGTGTAGAATGGAAAGAGTCATGGTAACATTTGCCTCACAGGTTGATGCAAGGTCCAGATGAGATTGTGTGTGTAGACAGTCGAATACAGACCCTGTAACATATTTGATACTCCATTAATATGAGATACTCAACTGATATAATTCTGCTCTACCTTAAGTATAACATTTGTTATCATAGGAAATAACACCAGAGGAGCATGAATTTGCCTTGACACTGCCAAACGTAGGCTTAAAAATCTCTGGCACGTGCAGCGCCTGGGTGGCTCAGATGGTTAAGCGTCTGCCTTCGGCTCAGGTCATGGTCCCAGGGTCCTGGAATCGAGCCCTGCATCGGGCTCCCTGCTCCACGGGAAGCCTGCTTCTCCCTCTCCCACTCCCCCTGCTTGTGTTCCCTCTCTCGCTGTGTCTCTCTCTGTCAAACAAATAAATAAATCTTAAAGAAAAAAAAAAAACAAAGCTCTGGCACGAAATGATTCAAGGCTGAGCCTCTGGCCTGCTATCTTAAAAACAGCGCCGTGTTTGGACACACATGTTAGAATGACGATCCCAAGAAATGCTTTCTTCTTTCTCAGGGTCCAGTTTGAGAGGCTGGCATTTATAAAGACATCATCTGTTTCCATAAGCAGGTTAGGCCGGTTTCCCTGCTGTGGCTGACACCTGTGACCCAGGGTTGCTCTGCGCCACCTGCAGGGCTGGTGTTGGAGCCCAGCAAGTCCTGAGAGAGCAGAAGGTTCCAGGTGCTCTGAGGCAGGCCCCAGGAGCTGGAGGCAACTCGCTGACCACAAAACCGACCGAAAGCAGTGCAACCAAGAGGGGTGCACACACACCCTCTGTGTAAAGTGACACCTGAGGTGGCTTCGGAGGTCTCAAGGTCCTCTGGAAGAAAGATTTTTTTTTTTTAATGGAGCAGAGTGGAAGGACAGAGAGAAGGTGACATTTGTCTGGGTTTTCCCCACAGATGGTAGAACAGAAAAGGCCCTGAGCTTAACTGGGAAAGGGCCTTGAGGACACTCCCCAGAGGGTACAGACTGAGGCCAGGGATGACCTGCTGTCCCCTCGCCCTTCCTGAAAGCAATCGGCAACAGTGTTGAAACTCCAGAGTGGAGATGTTCCAGATCACACAGGAAGGCAGGCCTGCACAGTAGCTGCTGGCTGCCGGAGCAGCTGCTCTCAGTTATTAAGACATGGACATGCTCTCATACCAGTTGGTATAAACCTCTGCCCTGAGGCCCTCACCACTCCCCATCACTCTGGCTGCCATGATCTCTCCTCCAGGAAGCCCTAGCCCTCCTCAAGATCCAGAGATGCCACCACAGGATTAACACCTGCCACAGGGGGCCTCCCGGGATTTCTGATTGGTCGGGACTGCTGGTGAAATGGTTTGAAGATCACCCCTGACATTGGCCCCAACTCCCTACGATCTGCATCATCTCCACGGGGTAGAGGCAGAGTAGATGGGGATGCCACCGCCCTGGTCACATTTCTCTCCCAACTCCCAGGACCCAACTGCCTCAGCCACCCACCTACTTTCTTACTGCCATGGGCAACCACTACAACGCAAACCCTGACTTCCCAGAGACAGCTCAGTTCAAACTACGGGGGGTGGGGGTGTTGCTGCTTCTAAGTGGAGCAAAAGCTAAGGAGCAGACAGAATTCCCCACAGCACCACGTCAGCGTGGAGATTGTGAAAACCACTCACAGCCAAGGAAGGGCAGCCAATTCGGCCATTCCCGACCCACTCGCCCACCGCCCTTCGAGGCCCCAGCCAGACACCCAAGGCCCTCCTTATTTCATTGACCTCGAACTAAGATGGCCTCCCCACTCAACCAAGGAAAGCTCCCAAAGTCTGGGACCTGGACATTAAAAATGTATACTTCCAATTCTTTGTCCTCTTTTTGTAAATTGATCAAATAATGCACCACATACCACAAAGTTCTTAGAAATTGAACCGAGAATATGCAATTCTACAGCCAGTTAAGTCAGAGTGGAGAATAAGTCAGAATGCAGAATTAATGATAATGCTTGACAACCCTTTCTCTCCCTTCCTCCCCCTCTCTCTCCCTACCCCCAACTTCCTCCCTCCTTCCTTCCCTCCCTTCCCCACTCTCTCCATCTGACACATATGCAGACATACACACTCTCTTCCCGAGGAAATCGTCAAGAAAGATATTGCCAGAACTGGTAGGAATTATTACCAGTCCATTATGAGAGCCAGTTTACAGCTGCCCTGAAGCTATGATTTAAACCAGGTCTTTAAAAGTCCCTATCTCTGTGTTTTTAATGGGTAGCTACCTGGATTACCTTGTTGAAAATATAGGAGAGACTCTCGGGCTGTGCTAGGGTCAGGTGATTACTGAAACACAAAGAGAGACATAATCCACATTAGACCATGTCCCCTAGGAGACCAGAGGCCTTCGAGGCAGGTAAAATGTCCATGGGACAGGAGATGCTCACCTGTCACCAGGCCAATTGGTTACCACAAATAATTTCTTTCCCTGAATAACACAAACAAGCAGGGTTTTCCCTGTTTTGTACAAGAGGAGGGGAGCAGCCGGAGACCAGCTGTCTGATGGTGTATAGTCCCAACGCCTGGTTCTAATAGCAAGACAAATCCTTGATGGAAAATGTACAAAGTAATTGAGCTGGCAAGAAATCAGAAGGAAATACCCAGGCCCCTTTCTTCCTAGTTGTACACGTATGATACCTCCGAAGCTCATAATCAAGCAGGAAAGAGAACGAAGATTACTCTATTTATATATTTTGATTTTCTTATCTGCTTAGGTGGCTTTCTGGAGTTGTTGGGTTTGATTTTTAAAGGAATGCTTGTACCACAGGAAATCAATTTCAGTACAAAAAATAAAGTCATGTGGAATTTTTGAACACTGCCATACGGTAGAATCCGTATCCTGGTTGTTATAATGAAAATAGAACTCCTGCTTCTTAATTAAAAAAAAAAAAAGATCAAGTATAAAGCTCAGCTTTGTTAGCACTGCTGTGCCTGACGTGAAGTAGGTCATGAAGAAAGTGGCCCCAGATGAGATGCTACATGAAGAAGGAGGAGAGGCAGGTGAGAATGGGCCCGTGTGCATCTGGGGCAGCACTCTGGGGCAGACTTACTTGGGTGTGCCCGTCGGTTTCCAGTACCTGCAGAAGAGGTACTGTCCGTCGGCATTGACCAGGTGAGGCAGGTCCTGGTATGGAACGCTCTGCGGGGTCTGCCTGGGAGAACTTTCCTCTGGCATTCTGAAAGGATCTGCAAGTCCTTGAAAGAAAAGAGGACATATTCCAAAGTCAGAAATATGGCAAAACACATAGAGATGGAGAGAAAAGCCTTGTTTGGTGTCAGTAATAATTTTTAAGCAGTTAAAAAAAAAAACCCTCCATTTCAAAGATTTTTAAAAACCCATATATTTCTTGCAATCTCTCCGAGACTGAAAAATCCCATTTGTTCTTAAGAAAATGCTCACTTTATTTTTTAAGTGCCTCATTACAGCTTTTTCCCCCTTCCCATCTGTGTTTATTTTAAATCATTTCAGGAAACTTCATCTTAAAGACTATTTTAGCTGTAATCAAGTGGAAATTATAGTCAGCTCTGTGGGTATAAAGACCCAGCTGCAAGAAGACCCATCTATCTTAAAATCCCCAAGGAAGTTTCAAAGGGGCACAATAATGAGGTGGATGATACTCCAATTAATTCCTCCTGTCTGAAATTCCAAAGGTTCCATGACAAACCTGTTTCCATCATGTCCTGGTTTTTGCATTCCACAACCACCACAGCATGAAGGATCAGAGCCAGGCAAATAAGGGCTGTTCCCTCATCTCGGCCGTCACAGGGCAGCATTCAAGCAGCTCCCGAGCCCCTGTCCCCTACCCCGCGCCCTGCCCCCAGAGCCTGCCTTTCGGGCTTTAGGGGTGCGGAGCCCGGGAGCCTGCTACCAGCTAGCACTGACAAGCTCTCCCGGGCTCCCCTCCTTCCCCAGGGGCGGGGGAACAGGCGCCTGCGATGCCCCGCTACTAGTTTAGGTCATTACTTTCCTTACACAAACCGATGGAGGGTTTCGGGGACGAGAGGGGCTCGCGAGCCCCGGGAAACTGGGAAACTAGCTCCGCGCACACCGAGGCACCTCGCACACGCACAAATGCGGGTCCCCGAGGCAAAGTCACCCCCGAGGCTCCTGACAAACTTTGCTTCCTGCCTGTCTCCGACAGCGCAGGGAATGGAGCTCTGCAGCTGTCACTGGGAAAGCCACGGGAAAAACCAGGAGACTTCGCCTGGCGTGTGCACGGGGACGGCGGGGACCGGGAAGATGGAGTTGACGGGGACAAGTTGGTTTGGGGGCTGGTGCGAGGGAGCAGGGGAGGGCGCGCGCACACACGCGCACACACAGACACGCGCACCACACAGACACGCGCGCACACACGCGCGCGCACCAGGGGGCGCGGGAGCCCACGCCGAACGCGCGGGGGACCCCCGAGGCTGCTCCCCACCCCTGGGGACGGCACTTGCTGGCTGGGGCGGGGGCCGGGAGGCAGTTACCGGGGCCACGAGCGCCGCTGTCGCGTTCCCCGAGCGCCGCGGGTCCTCGTCTGCGGCGGGCGGGTGCCGGGCCAAGCTGCGCGCCGCCGGCTCCGCGGCGACAGGGCGCGGCGTCTGCGCTGCCACTTTATCCCCGGGCCGGCTCGGCGGCGGGGGCGGCCCGAGGTGGGTGGGGACGCGCGGGACAGGCGGGCGGTGCGGAGAGGCGGCGCCCGGGGCCCACGTGTGCCCGGCCCGCGGGGAGGAGCTGGGGGCACAGCCCGCGGACCCGGCCACGCGCTCCTCCCCGCCCGGCCTCGTGGGAGGCCGCGCCCCGGGGTGGCGGCCCGGGGACCGTCACGAGGCCTGGAACCCAGCCGGCTCACCGGAGTGTCAGCGCGGGAGGACTCGCCACACTCACGCGCAACACACCTAGCGCACACAGAGCCACGTAGGGACACAAACGCACACCACACATACAGACTGCAAACGCACACGGACCACATGCGTGCACAGACCCACACCCAGATACTACCCGTACAGACACAGAAAACACACGTGCAGATGCTACATGTTCACAAGGACACACACCACACATGCAGGCATGCATACACGTCCCCACAGATACACACGCATGGACACATGGGGATGCACAAACAACATACCACACGCACAGACACACAAACGCATACATACTTAATACACAAAGCAGACAGGCGACATCCACAGAGATACACAAACCCACATAGACACACATAGAAAGGAACACAGAGTGACACACTCATGCACACCCATAGACCTCTCTAAGCATACAAACATGACATGCACATATGGGCAGACACTCATATCGTGTGCACGCGCACACACACACACACTCATATACAGACATATTCACACACACCCAGAGAGACACACATGGTCAGACACACACATAAAAAGCTGGGGTGGGGTGCATAGCTCCCCAGGAGGTAGGGTAGAGGCAGACTGATGTAGGCCTTGTCCCTCTACTTCCATCCCCAGCAACCGTCCCCAGGTCCCAGGAAGTGGGCCCCCAAACGAAATCTCTGGGGCATCTACACAGGCCAGGGGCAGGTCTGAACAGTGTCCGGTACAACTAGCAATGTAGCCTGTGGGGGTACAGGAGCCAGCCCTGGACTTAGAGTCCAGATCACCTGTTCTAGCTCCTCCTTCCTGTGGGCCTTAATCTCCCCACCTGTAGCCTGGTTAGTACAATACCTGTGTCCCCAAGGAGTGTGACAAATGTCCCGAGCTCACACTGACCTCAGCTGGCCTTTGTGCCTTTCCTTCTTTCACAAATAACTTTACACCATAGCAATGTTGAAAAGAACTGCTGTCCTCCAGAAACTGGTATCTCAATGTCACATTGTGTGAGGGCAGGGGGCCCAGGCTGCTTAGAGCCTGTGATCTAACTTAAGAAGTAAAACAATAGCCTTTGAGAAGCTATGAGTTTTAAGTGCCTCCCAGTGGCTCAGCCAGCTCTCTGGCCTCAAGCAGTTCACCAGGCCCGGGACAGAGAAGGGGTAGCTAAATGACTTCTCCGAGGGGCAGTGTACAACATCCGTGCAGGGCGTGTCTAGAGGCATCTAGAGGCAGCAGCCCTGGGGCAGGGAGCTGGGGGCGGGCCTTCAAGCTGGCCCTGCTAAGTACATTGCATTTACTTGGATGGCAATTTCTTCAAGGCGGGGCAATTGGGGATCTGATACGGGTCAAGGGGGCCCAGAGCCCACCAGTCGACCTTGGATGCTGCTGTTGTTTTGGTTTTTTCCAGCTCCAACATTCCAAAACTTTAAATAGACAGTGTGAAAGTTTGGAGCACGGATTTTGCTGAAGTTGTCACAGAGCCTCCCTAGAAATGGTGGTACAGAGTTTGAAGATTTGCTTGCTCAGTTACCAGCATAAATGAGAGCGTGGTGTGCCGTCAGCAGGTTGGGAAACCAGGAGTTAAGAGATTGAGACTGTGCTATTGTGTATCTGGCTTTTTTTTTTTTTTTTTTTCTGAGTAAACTTATTTTGAGATACTGGTAGATTCACATGCAGTTGGTAACAAATAATACAGAGAAATGCTGTGTGTCCTTTACCCACTTTCCCCCAATGGTAACATCTTGGGAAACTGTAGGACAGTATCGCAACCAGGATATTGACATTGATACAGTCAAGATGCAGAACGTTCCAGAACATTGTGTTGTGCTTTTGAAGCCCACCCCCATTTCCTTCATAACCCTTGCCAGGTGCTAATTTGTTCTCTGTTTCCAAAATTTTCTCATTTCGAGAACTTTTTATGACTTGAATCACACAGTATATGACCTTTTAGGATTCACTGTTTTTATTTAACATTTCCGGGTGGTTGTGTGTAGCATTCTAGGATATGGATAAACCACATAGTTTGTTGAGAGACTTTTGGGTCATTACCCCTTTGGGCTCTCACAAATAAAGCTGCTTTCGGCACTCATGTAGAGGTTTTTGTGTGAACATGAGTCTTCATTTCCCGGGAGGGTAATTGCTGGGCCATATGGAAATTGCATGTTGTTTAAGATGCAATGTGTTCCAGAGTGGCCATGCCATTTCACATGCCCATCCAGAATGTGTGAGAGATCCAGTTTCTCAGCATCCTTGTTAGCATTCAGTGTTGTCTCTCTTTCTTTCCTTTAGCCTTGTCCACCCCACTGTCTTTTCTCCTCCTCTCCCTCTGGGACTCGATCCGATGTTAGATCTCTTGTTATGGTCCCATAGGTCTCTGAGGCTCTCTTCATTTGTTTTCCTGTCTATTTTCTCTCCGTTGTCCAGATGGGGTAATTTCTAGTGCCCTGTCTTCCAGTTCACTGCAGTGTTGGATGTGTTGAGCACGAGGTGCTTGTAGGGGAGGCTGGATTTGTGGGTCTCGAACTGAAGAGAACAGTCAGGCCAGAGATGTGGGAGTTGGCCAGAAATGATCCTTGTATCCGTGGGATAGAACACACTCACCTCAGGAGAGTGGGCAGGCAGAGGTATAACTTGGCAGCCTGTGGACTGCATCTGGTCAGAGGAGGTTGAGATTGGCCATTGCTATGCTTTCAAAATATTTGAATTACTAGCCAACATTCCATGTGATAGTGCTGGTCTCTGGATTTCCTCTAAAAGGCCAAAAGCCTGGCAATATGGGGCCACATTTGTGCCTGACAGTGGTCAGCATTGTGGCTGGATGGAAGCTGCCCTCTTTGGGTGGTGCACGCATCTGCCTGTTTGCCAGCCCCTCTGCTACACCCCCCTAAAGAAAAACTAACTCTCCAAATTGATTCTATGAGGCCAGCATTACCCTGATACTAAAACCAGATAAAGACTATACAAAAAAGAGAACTATAGGCCAATATCTCTGATAAATATAAGTGCAAAACTCCTCAATAAAATATTAGCAAACCGAATCCAACAATACATTAAAAAGAATCATTCACCACGATCAAGTGGGCTTTATTCCCAGGTTGCAAGGTGGTCCAATATTTGCAAATCAGTCAATGTGACACATCACATCAATAAGACAAAGGATAAAAACCATATGATCACTTCAATAGATACAGAGAAAACATTTGACAAAGCCCGACATCCATTCATGATAAAAACCCTCAACAAGGGCGCCTGGGTGGCTCAGTTGGTTAAGCGACTGCCTTCGGCTCAGGTCATGATCCTGGAGTCCCGGGATCGAGTCTCACATCGGGCTCCCTGCTCAGCAGGGGTTCTGCTTCTCCCTCTGACCCTCTTCCCTCTCATGCTCTCATCTCTCATTCTCTCCCTCTCAG